ATAATAATAATAATAATAATATTGTATTTTGCCATATAAGCATTGTTTACAGCGTTTTAAAACATAGAACAATAGTTTTTAAAATTATAATTTTTGTGACACACACACACTGAAGTAATCAGATCCTGTACAATCATCATTAGTTTTGAAAAGTTAAAGGTTATTTAATAAAAGATTCATGTGCTTTTTAAGTATAAAAATTGTAAATTTAATTTAATTAATCGTCATAAATAATTGATAATAATAATATTCTCTAGCTGTATGCAATCGTCAATTAGTATTAAAAAAAACTTTCAATCAATAGTCATAGGACTATATTAAAAACAATATGTTACTGCAGATTCATGTAACATTGCCATTTAAAAAAAAGTTGCACCACTTCCAGCCGTATATAAAATGAACGTGTACGTTTTATAAAGGTTAAATTTTATTTAATTATTTCGCTTTTCCCAGCAGCAGCTGGAAAACTGAGCCATTGTTTTTGTTCTGATTTTTTCCTTCCATATCGTTTTTCCTATGTTTTTGCACTGGGTTTATCTGTCCGATCGATCACTTTCCACATACTTTAATATTTTCCAAATTTTGTCCAAGCAAAGACTATAAATAGGGCCTACTCCCCCTCCCCCCACCTTGTCGGGGAGGAAAAGCGCTACTAGTTTGAACATGTTCAAAATTAATGCTACGAGTTGACTATTCGTAGTAAACTCGAAGGACTCGTAGGTAACTCGTAGAGTACTCAGGGCACTCCTACCTAACTCGTAACCAGGGAACAAATTGTAGCACTGTTCCCTGCTCGTACATTACTCGGGATAGGGGCCTACTCATTGGCGGTTTTGTAATCCACGAGTTTGGTGCGAGCACCCTGAAACGAGTACGAGTCAAGTACGAGCGCACCGCGAGTTGGTTACGATCACCAGGAACATTTGATGGGAATGCTCGTACTTAACTCGTATCGAATACGCCTTTTCCACGAAGCGGTAGAGACATCTTGAAGTGATGACAAACAACTCAAGTCAGTGGTGCGTAACCAACAGAAATAAGATAAGCTTTGCGGCTGAATTCTGTCCTCGTGTTATCTAAAAATTCATAACTCCATAACGGAGAGTGAAATTATCGCATTAATTTTTTCTGGAAAATGTTCTCAAAAGACTATTCTACACCACTATATGATTGAAAAAAAAAATTGAAAAAGTGTTTTTGACCTCTGAAATCAAAATGGAAAAAGAGAAGTCTATCTAAGTAGTGTATTAAAATAGGCCTATGCATTACAGTGCAGAAGCATAGTATTTTTCTTTTTTAATTTCAACATCAATTCTCATTATGGCAATGAGGAAACCTATGTTCTGTTTTACAGACATTGTAGGCCAAGGTCTTTATTCTTTATTTCTGTTCTTCTTCCCTATTTATAGAGCGCCTTCCTTTACACGTACGAAGTACTTTTTTAAATGTATTAGTTTTTCTCAAATGTTTCAGCCATTAGTGTTTCCAGAGCAAGCTGGCTATCCTGTAGGAGCACGCGGTGATGTTAGGTATTTTCAACTCCAGGTACACTATGACAATCCACAACTTCTGCAAGGTAAGAACAAGTATGATTTAAATTTGAAAGATATGTTTTGAAGATCATATGTACATTGTGTCCCAGTTGATATGGGCGTATCCAGGAGCCCGTAGGCCTACTTAAGGATTCCATAGAATGAAAGAGCAAGGACTTGCTGGGGTTGATTTCCTCAGCCCATCGTAAAGTTCATAGTGAATTCGATACTCTTTTAATGCAAAATTCTCTATAAAAAGGGTGGCATATCTACTGAATGATGTGACATAATGGAAACACCTGAAGAGTTAAATAGTCGAACGGTATAGGTATATTTGTAAGGAGGGGACCTGCGATTCTCATCGGATACATTACATTTTTATAAACACTCACTGCAGGCAAACCAATAAAGCGTAATATCTCTAGGAATAAGCAGAAATCAAGGAATAGGGGCCTATATATACTGAAAAAATGAGTTTGGAATAAAATATCTCAATACGTTTTTTTTTCTCTTTCATTTTGCTTTTTTCCGGGTTAGGTAGTCGCGACAACAGCGGTGTACGTATTTACTATACACCTAAGCTTCGTCAATATGATGCAAGTATGTTGGTAACGGGTCTTCCATCGTTCGTTACGTTCGTGATACCACCCAAAGAGGAGGCTTTCACGCTCCAGGGTACCTGTGAAAGAAAATGTTCTGAGGAGGTAATAGTTTATATATTAATATTTTAAAGTGACAGAGTTGTAGTTGTTTGTAGCACAAATGTATTCGTTCTGAAAAAGCTGAAAAGTTGGGAACTAATTCTCGAGAGTGGAGAAGACTTTTTTGGTGGACCTCCCAAGGCCGGCGGAACCGGGGGGGGGGGGGATTTTTGTATGATTGGAAAGAAATGCAAGCAAAGAAAGAGGGAAGAAGGAGGAGAAGGATGGGAAAGAGAATGTTTATCCAGTCCCCGACCGAGTTACATTTTCTCGCAGTTCACATTGGCGGATCTGGGGGAGGGGGTCATCGGTCCTGACCCCTCCCTTGGGCCAAAAAAAGAAAAAGGAAAAAAAAAGAATTCTAGACCTTTCTTGTTGGGATTTATTGATTCATGGAAAAAAGAATACGCATGCAACTACTCATTTGTTTATGTGTATACACACATAAAATTAAAAAAAATTACCTGACCGTTTTCAAGATGGGAAAACCTTGAATTTTTAAGAAATTAAAAAGTCATTTATAAATGACATTTCAGAAGTCAGGAAAGCTCATTTCCCGCCATCTATAAATCGAAATTTTCCCGGGGGAACCCGGACCCCCCTTTTCTTTGGTGTGCATTGATTCATTGAATCATTTTCAAGAGGGAGAAAACCTTGAATTTTGAAGAACTTAAAAGTAATAAAAAGACACCTCAGAAGTCAGATTCTATGAATCAAAAATTTTCGCACGGGAGAAAAAAAATTTACCTGACCGTTTTCAAGAGGGGAAAACCTTGATTTTGAAGAACTTTAATTAAAATCGCTAAAAGATACCGGTACTTTAGAAATCGGGAAAGCTCATTTCCCACCATTTAGAAATCAACATTTTCCCGGGGAGAATCCGAACCTCCCTTTTCTCTTTGGGTTCATTATGGATTTCATTTGGATTCATTATAATAATTTTCAAGAGGGGAAAACCTTGAATTTTGAAGAACTTAAAAGTAATTAAAAGACAACTTAGAAGCCGGGAAGCTCATTTCCCGCCTTCTAGGAATCAAAATTTTCCGGACCCCCCACCTTTTTTTTTAGATTTATCGACTCATGGAAAAAAATTCGTATGCAACTACTCAATTTATTTTATGTATGTATACACAAATAAGCCAAAGGTCTATCTACTGTAATAACAATGGTAAAAATTTATCTGACCGTTTTCAAGAGGGGAAAACCTTGAATTTTAAAGAACTTAAATTAAAAATCGCTAAAAGATACTTCAGAAGTCAGGAAAGCTCATTTCCCACCATTTAAAAATTTTCCCGGGGAGAACCTGAACCTCCCTTTTCTCTTTGTGTTTATTGATTCATTATAATAATTTTCAAGAGGGGAAAACCTTGAATTTTAAAGAACTTAAAAGTAATTAAAAGACACCTCAAAAGTCGGGAAAACTAATTTCCGCCTTCTAGGAATTTTTCTTTGGAGCTTATCGATTCATTGAAAAAAGAATACGTAGGCCTACGCAACTACTCATTTTTTTATGTATGTTTACACACATATCAGGCCTATTTACTGTAATAAGAATGTTTACCTGACCGTTTTGAAGAGGGGGGAAACCTTGAAACAAAGTCATTAGACACCTAACTCAAAAGTCGAGAAAAGTAATTTCCCGCCATCTAGAAATCAAAATTTTCCCGGGGGAGAGCCCCCAGACCCCCCCCCCCTTTCTTTTTGGGATTTATCGATTCATGGGAAAAAATCGTATGTAACTACTCTTTTTTTTTATGTATGTATACATAAGGCCTATTTACAGTAAAAGCAATGGGAAAAATTACCTGACCGTTTTCAAGAGGGGAAAACCTTGAATTTTGAAGAACTTAAAAGTAATTAAGACACCTCAGAAGTCGGAAAAGCTCATTTCCCGCCATCTAGGAATCAAAATTTTTCTTTGGAGCTTATCGATTCATTGAAAAAAGAATACGTAGGCCTACGCAACTACTCATTTTTTTTAATGTATGTTTACACACATATCAGGCCTATTTACTGTAATAAGAATGAGAAAGTTTACCTGACCGTTTTCAAGAGGGGGAAACCTTGAATTTTGAAGAACAAACACATTAGACACCTAACTCAAAAGTCGAGAAAAGTCATTTCCCGCCATCTAGAAATCAAAATTTTCCCGGGGGAGGACCCTGGACCCCCTAGATTTGATTCCAGATCTGCATGATTCATATTCCCATTCATCTTATAAGTGGCCCCCTCCCCCCACTTTGAAAAACGTTCCGCCGGCCCTGCCTCCGGCCATGAATTTTAATGGTCTACTAATATACTACTACTACTACTACTATTAGGCCTATTACTATTTTACATATGGTAGAGCTATTTTTGCAGTAACTAGAAATTCTGGATTTCATTTTATTTTAAAGATCTAATAACATTTATAAATAAATAATTGTTTTCAAACATTTTGCAGATGTTTACAGAGGGCGACCTGAGAGTATTTTCGATTATTCTGCATGCACATTTAGCCGGTTTGTAAATAATTATATTGAAATATTTTAAAAAAAGAAGTATATTTATATAGTAAAAGATATTATATTACTATTACTACTACTGCTACTGCTACTCAGGGGTGGCGCCAGGATTTGCCCGACGGGGGCCGAGGTCCTCGACGAGGGGGCCGAGGTCCCCGACGAGGAGGCCGATGCCCAGACGAGGTTTTAGATTTCCCCGACGAAAGCAAAGTGGGCGTGGTCGAGCTTCGATTAAGAGGCTCCGAAAGTGGTCCTGGGGGCGAAGTTTCCGAAAATGTTGACAATTTAGGGGTTTCAAAGGCTTAGTTATTCGATTTTATAGTCTACCAATGTAGAAAATACATATTTTTTTTTCTCCCCGACGAATTGTGCTTTTTCTCCCCTATTTCTTGCACTCAACAGCAACTGGTATTCGGTTAACCCACTACCGGAATGGTGAATATATCGGAGAAATTGCACGTGACACAACATACGACTTCAATCTACAAGAACAACGATATCTAAAGGAAGAGTGGATAGTTAAACCGGTAATACATTGTTAAATATTTTATTAACATGGAAACTTCATAGCAGGCAATGTCTAAATTGATTAATTTTACAATAACATGGCTAATTATAATGGCCTAATCAGGTTTGGTGACATCATCATGGCTATTATTTGTCATCGAAACTGATACTTATCAGATCATTTAGGGATTGGTCTGTAATCTGTCCGACGGCCAAATGGGTTTCGGTAGAGAGGAGTCGGCAATTTGGCATTCGGCGAACTGGGTTTCGGCAGACAGGCTTGATGTTATATAGGGCCTCATTCAAACCAGAACCATCCGCAAAGCATTCATCAGTAAATGGTATTTGAGGTGCTCAATTATTGAACTTCGGTTAAGCGTGTTGAACATTTTATCCTCTATTTCTAGAATGAATTTGTAGTTTAGGTGCATTTTGTTTTGTGTATGTGGCTTTAAAATTCCTACCAATTAGATAATTGATTGGTATTTAACTTGTATATAATATTATTTCTAGGTTTTAAATCTTGTTTGTTTTACAGGGCGATGATCTATTCGTAGAATGTACATACAATACGATGGATAGAGAAGCAGCTACATTTGTAAGTAAATTGCTTTCATATCAACTATCTCTGTGATACTGAAGTCATTTTTTTGGTAAATGACTTTCCTACGCTAATTATTCCTTCCAGAGTGGTGCGGCAACAACTGACGAAATGTGTCTGGCCTTCCTGTCGTACTATCCGAAAGCTAATGCCGGAAAATGCTACAACACCCCAAATCCAAATACATTGGAAAAGTTACTGAATCTTGGTGACTTAAAGTGAGTTGCACGATAATGCACAACAGTTGGGCACTGTTAAATATTCCTAAATGAATAGGCACAATACTGAGCTGACAGGTCTTGTACCACTACTGAAAGATGTTGTGATGGTTCTATAGCTTCTCACTGTCTTGGCTCAGTTTTTATATATATCCTAGTATTAAGTCCATTGTTATTTTTAAATAATCATTAATTAATTATTGTTTTATTAAAGTTTTTTATTATCATTAAATAATTATATAATTATTATTATTAATATTTCTATTATTAATAATATTATTATTACTATTGCTATTATTATTATTATCATTAATATTAATTTAATTATTGCAAATGAATTTTGTTGATTATTATTACAACACAAATAGTATATATTTCATAGCAAAACATATTAGTCTGTGATTTACCTTTAACTGTTATATAGAAATCAATCATTGCACGAAGCTATATATAACTTGGAGTGGACTAGTGACAGAAGAGATGGCATCAGAGAATGGTATAGAACATCCCGAGTATCGTTGTGTACGAATCACTCCGGCCTCCCAATATTTTCAGTTGAGGACATATCACTTGGACGGGTGAGAATTTCATTCTATTTCATCTTCAGCAAAATACAAAATTACTAAAAGTATATTTTTAAAAAGTCACAGAGAACAATATATATATATATATATATATATATATATATATATATATATATATATATATATATATATATATATATATATATATAT